TCACTGAGGGAGCTGCGGTGGAGCATTACCGGCAATGCCAAAGACCTCTCCAGGCTGTGCTAATGCTTGGTCTACCCCTAGCCCTGGTTTCATTTGGAAACCACCGCTTCCCAAAATAGAACACACTGGTTGGCCGCTCGGGCTGCACACGAGATGGCCCCAGGGCAGAGCCATGAGATGTGGTGGTTGGATCTCCATCTTTTTGACAAGTCCTATCAAGCCAAAGAGAGGACCTGGGTATTTGCACTGACATCTACTTGCACCTGGGTGGGTGCAAAACCATAATCCTGTGAGCAGCAAAGTCTCTTGTTATGCAATGGCTTAGGCAAAAGCAGTCAGTCTGTAGACTTGCTTGATTGTTGCATTTCCAGTGAAGATCCCAGACAGCCTGTTTTACAAGGGAAAAGGGCAGGACTCTTTGTACTGTTTTTGTATGTTCAGGGTTTGTGCGAATTCTCCCCCAAAGGCTTGTTTAAAATCTCTCTCTCTCTCTCTCTCTCTCTCTCTGTGTGTTTTCTCGAGTTCTACTTATGCAGTGCCTGTGGGTTTCTCTGCTGTCTGCTCCCTGTGGGGTTTGCTGCTTTGGCCATAAAGGAGGTTAAACTTCTCCCCAAAAGTTGTTTGAAAAACACTGTATGTGGCTCACATTCAGTGACAGCATCATAAAGGCTCAAATATGCAGCTAGCCTCAGATTTTCCTTTTCAGTCATTTTTCTGTCAAACTAGTTTAAGTGGGAGGCTGTTTGTAACAATGCTTCCTAAATGTGTGCATGTAGGGGGAGAGGAGGGGGGCACCAACACATTTATTAATGCACTTTTGCTAATGCACATTTAGTACCTTCATTGTGAGGTACTAGAAAAAGGCACATTAGCCTATTTTAAAGCATTAGCAAAAGCGCATGGTTTTGTGTGATGCTTTAATGAGCATTAAAATAGGCTAATGTGCTTTAAGGCTCACGTGCGTGCGTGCGTGCGTGCGTGCGTGTGTGTGTGTGCATGCTCACCTCACCAAGTCCAGCTAGAACAGCATTTCTCAACCCTTGGGTCATGACCCAAAAATTGGTTGCAAGAATATAGGAAAGGGTCTCAAACAGACTTTAAAAATGGATCAACAAACTTTAAAGGAGAAAAACGTGGTGAATAGTTGCTTTTCCCTTGCAGGCTGGCAGAGTTCCAACCTGTGAGGGGTGGCTGGGGACCCCCTCATGCCTCAGACACCCACCCCCTGCCCCACACACTAGGGGGCAGGGGGCACTGGGTCAGGACTGGCCATTGATGTTTACAAGCAGGTCCTGGTTGAGAACCACAGTGCTAGGAGACCAGGTGAATAGCTTCCCTTGGCTAAGCTTTGCAAACTGACTAGTGAATCTGGGAGGAACACTTGTAACACCTTGAAAGGGGCCTGGTTTTTTGGAGGGTTGGTGCCCAGAAACCAGGTCCCTATAAAACGTCTCATATTGGGTCCCAAAATCACTAGACCCTTTTTTGGTATCTTGGCTAATGAGAGCTGTGCAGCTGGCTCCCTCCTGGCAGCTTGGGAAACCTCTGGCCTGCAGTGGTATACGTTCTGAGAAACTGATTTCAGGGCTGTTTATGCCTTTGGAAAAGGCCCCATCACCTGCCTTAATACAGTCTGAGTAGGGTGACTTGTGAACAACGTGCTGACACATGATGGCAGCTACCCACTCAGTGTAATTTGTCCCTACCTCCAGGTAAGCCTATAAAACGGTGGTCAAGAAATGGGCAGTGAAGGTTGGAATGGATCTAGTTTAGGAAGAGCCAGGAGAGGATAGGAGTGAGGGCACCTGTGTGCTCCTAGAAACGTAGGTTGAGACTCTTGGAGCAGCCTGGGGATTTACATGTGACATTAAATCCCCTAATTCTCTATTTCATTAGGTGAAAGATGTTTCTCAATCCCCTGCACTGCTTTGGAAATGTCTAGCCTTGAAGAACAACCTCTGCCTGCTCCTCTTAATATGGAAGAGACTTCTGCAGACTGGGCCCTAGCTTGGCCCTTAATTGAGCAATGACTTGTGAATGGGGTCCCCTGCTATTTTGAGACTTGTATATGCTTCTATCGCAACCAAAGGGATGAGCCGTCATTCCCAGGAAGGGAAATAGGGCCGACCCTTAATTGCTCATCTCCCTTCCAGGGAAGAGCAGTGCCGTGTTCACCTGTATCATAGTTGTGGGTGGAGGGCATGAGAGGCTGAGTGAGGAGTGGGAAGCTGCTTGGCTGTAGCTCACACCTTCCCTGTTGTACTGCATATTACAAAGAATGCAGCAGACAAATACCACCCTGCTCTGCTGCAGGCAGGCATCTGTCCAGGTTTTAGGTAGAGGGAAGAGAGATAGGGATCCAGCTGTTATGTGGAGATGAGGCCAAACTAATCCTGCCACCCTCATAGGACCCTCCCACATTAGTCTGGGTCTGGGCTAAGTCTCTCCTGCATGCCCATGGGGGGCCATCCCACTCCCTCGCAATGCTTAGCCCATAGAAGAAGGCTTTCTGCTTTGGACTGCTGCCTGAATTTAACAGTCTTTTTGCTTCCCTCAGCTCTGGGGTTCCACCCGTGGCTGCTGCAGGGCAAAGTGAGACAAGATATCCCCTGCACATGGCTAGGGAGGGCAGCAGGGACCCGTCCAGCTTAGAACGAATAGGGCTTAAGCGTTTTCTTGGCCTTTGGCTGTAAAGGGCAGTGCCTCTCATGGTACTGTACACAGGATGGCTATTACCTAAGATGTCTTGATGGCGGAAGTGATGCCCTCCTTTATGTTTGCTGTCACCACCATCATCCCCACCTCCTTGGGTGGGTTTTTTGCTTCTGAGATGATAATAGGAACCTTCAGACTCTGCTGCCACAGGAGAACACAAAGGAGGTGGAGCTGTGTGCCGCCTCTGAGTAATGCCACCTGTGGTCAGCAGGGGCCACTTGCCCTCAGTGTCACAAATGAGCCAGCCTGCTTGGGTAATAAAGGAGCGGCTGCTAAACGTCATCTTTGAAAGGCAGGTAAGCCAAGGCCTCGCTTTCTTGTGTCCCTCAAAACCTTTGCTCCCTCTTACTGCTTTCTGCCAGGGTGGGGTTCTTGGCCCCAACTCCTGGCTCAGTCCTGGTTCAGGGCCAGGCCTTCAGTTATGCACCAGTGGCAGGGACTGCATATTGGAGTGAAACACCTTAGCCCCAGTTCTGGTATCTCGGAAGCTCTTGTAGCTTCAATGTGCTGCAGAAACACCTGTTACTGAGGAACGGGAGACTGGAAAGGGGCCCCCTGGGTCCCCGGGTTCAGCTCCGTGCTCTTCGGGCCCCACATTTCCTAACCCTGCTCATGTCAGGATCCAGGTTTGTCCACACACCCCCCTGGCTGGCTGTGTCACCTCCCTGTGTTGGTAGCTATGCTGCTTTTTCAGCTGATCACGCAGAGCAGAACAGCACCACTGCTCAAACTTGTAGTCACTGGGCACCTGTATTAGATGGTGCCCATACCTAGTCTGGGCCACGTGTATCCCTTTTTACAGCTGGAGTCGGTGTGAGGACAGCACTGGGCTGAAGGTCTCATGGCAGCCCTATGGCAGGGCAGAATGGCCTCCTCACATCAACCCCACACATTATCCGGTCCAGTGGCAGGACCTGATGTTTTCCATGTGGGCAATGCTGCAGCAGATTCACTAACCCCATTTTAGCAAATGTCTTTGTTCCACAGGCTTTCCCCCCAGCCCCTTGGGGCTCATTCCAGTGCACCTGTACTGCACTCGCACCTGCCTGCTCTTGGATGTTACCTACTGGCTACATTTTCTCTCTTCCCAACATGCTTTTTGCCCCTCGCAGACTACAGCCTCATGCTTCTATGTGATTTCTGAAAGTGACTTTTTGCTTGTTTAGTGCCGCTGGGGGTGGCAGAGCAGGGGACGTGCATGTGCATGCTCTCACCTCGCCAAGGCCAGCTAGGGGACAAGGAGGCTGCTTTAATGGTGTTTAGCTCCCAGTAAGCATGGGTCCCTCCAACACAAACAGAACTAATGCTTCTCCCCACCACCCAGCAGCTGCATGGGCAAAGGCCCTGCAGCTCCACAGGCCAGATCCAGCCCACAGGCTACAGGTTGCTGCACTCTGGTTTAATGAATAGTAACCCTTAAAATGAATTGGATCCACCATTTTTAAACTTTCGGCTGCCCTTCAGGTGGCGTATTTCCCCAGGGGCCAAGGGCTATGGCTCTCGCTATAGTCAGTGCTTAGGCAAACAGCTCCACCCAAGCCAAGACAAACTTTTTCACTGTTAGAATAGTGAGGCAGTGGAATAGATGCCCGGGGAAGTTGTGGACTCCCCATCATGGGAGGTGTTCAAGAAATGGTGGACAGCTGATGGATGGGGATGATCTAGGTGTAGCCTGTGTTTCACTATGGGTATTTCCCTTGCTTCAGGGCTTTGCTGGTTGCCCCTTCCACATGTCAAGGTGTCTTTAACCTCCTTCATAGGCATTGGGTGTTAGCTGTAGCCAAAACTAGGGATTTTGACTGGGGTGTGCCAGTGCTCCTGCTGGGACTTAAACCTCCTGCTGCAGGTTCCTGGCTAAAGGGCCTTGCCCCTCCACTCAGGATCAGACCAATGGCCATATTTGGGGTCAGGAAGGAGTTTTTACCCCATGGTCAGATTTGTATGGATTGTGGGGGTTTTTTGCCTTCCCCTGTAGCAAGAAGTGTGGGATCTCTTGAGTGTGTATTAACAACTTTTATAGAAGTAGGATGTTGGCTGCCATGGTCCCTCTGCCTTACCCGTGGCAGTTCAGATTGTTATGTCTTCTGCTGTGTTAGCATTGATGGTAGTTTTACAAAGAGTTTAGATTATTGAACGGTACAGGATGGGTTGAGTACAGCTGGTCCTGCCTCGACAGGCAGTTGGACTAGATGACCTCCGGAGGTCCCTTCCATTCCTACTTCTCTATGATTTGCTGTGAGTCACCGGCCAGGGCCACACTGGGGCAGGGATCTCCAGGGAAAGGATGTGTTAAAATAAACTTTTATTATAATGGCTTTACAATATATTATAAAGATTTGAACATACCCTTCTCGCTACAACACTGTTAAAAACAAGACAAAACAAAAAACCAGCTAGGTGTTCCTTGTCCTCTACATCAGGCCCCTAAGCCTTGAGACAGGCTGTACTATAGCAAAAGGCTCCTTCAACTCCCAGCAGCTCAGCTCAAGGGATGAAGTAGGTACTGAAGGCTTAACTGGAAAGCGGTTAAAGGAGATGCACTGAGGCAGGCTGGGCTTCTGGCTTCTGCTAGCAGGGCTGAGGAGCAAGGAGGAGGCTTTTTAAAATGACCAGGTCCACTCCCTTGCCCCTGGGTGAAGTCGCACCAGGATACTGTTGGCCGATTTCTGAGGACCCTTGGGCTGGACCTGCTACAGGATGGTGTTGCAGTGTTCAGTGCCACCACACCTTGCATCAAGGCACCTTGTGGCTTATTGTCCTGAAGTAGGTGACCTGGCTCCCAGTGCATAAAACAGGGAGAGATGGTACCTCAGAACAGGATCCACAAAAGCTTGCCTGCAGGAGGCACCTTCCCCTGCAGGATTTACAGCCTGGAGGAGAAGCCACTCAGATGCACAGCATGGCATGGGGTGCACCCACTCCAGACATAGGAAATGCACGTTCAAATCCCATCTCTGCCAGGGGTGACGGGAACCCACAGCTCCTGCCACCTAGGGGACTGCTCTAACCCACGGAGCCTAGAATAAGAGGCTGCTGCTCCTTCTGTTTGCATTGTCTGTAGGTACATGTGCCCCAAGAATACCAGCCCCACGGCAGAATAAGCAAAGGGTGCTTCATCTGTGGATGCTGCTTGGACCTGTGATCCTGGTGCTGAGGTGCTTTATGTTGTCTGGATGTTGGCAGTTCTGCTGACACCAGCAGCAGGTGTTTAGGTGCAGGTAGAAACTTAGGCTCCTCCAGGGAGAGGTGGCAGCTGTGTGGGAGGTTAGAATGAACTTTGACCTCAGGCACCCGCATCCTCTTGTGCATCTAGCCCAGAGGTGCTCAACCTTTTCACACCTGAAGTGCCCTTGACCAACTCAAGGTGCTTCTCAGAAAATGTCAGCTCTTTGCTTGTACTAATTTGCTTGACTATGGAAAAATAATAGAGCAATTCTTCTGCCTTGAAGATCACAGCAGGTCACTATGTGACACTATGGATTCCTATTCGAAATGTCTGGGTTTATCTTGTGAAGCATGTGTAAATGTTGGCACACTTCAGAGTATTAATATTGTGCAGCACACCCTTGAAAGGATCTCAAGGCACCCCAGGGTTCCCCAGCAGCCTGACTGAGAATCACTGAACGAGCCCATCACTCAGCACTTCCTCCCAGACACAGCCTCCAGACCAGAGCCCCGTGCACAACAGGAGCGTGGCACACATGACCGAAGGATTGCAGAGCTGGCTCATTGCATAGCTGGAAGCAGATAACTGCTCATTGGAGTGCTGGCAGGTGTTCACAGGGACCTCACCAGTGACCTGTGACTCTGAGGTCCACCCCGAGGTACCCTGAAGGGGACAAATTTCCAGAGGTTGTGCGCCCAGGACTTTCTGAAAATTGGGCCCCTTTAAGGAGCATCAAGTTGGGAACTCTGAATCCACTAGAGGCTTCTGGAATATTTGGTCTTAAGTCTGGGGCCTCAACTCCTGAGCCAAGTGTGAGAGAAACCTCAGGTCTCAGAGGTATGAACAAGCCTATTTATCCCAGGTTTGCATGGACTCTGAAGCCTAATGGTCAGCAGCGCAATTTGCTGAGAGGATTTTAGACAGGGATGATCCTGCTTTGAGCCTCTGCTGGGTTGGCTAAGATGCCCTCCTGGGTTCCCTTGTGTCCCTGTTTTCCCACAATTCCATTGTTACCTCCTCTGCTGGTCTAACAAGGTGGCATGCTCTTGTGGTGCCTTGGAGCAGGGTAGTGGTACATCTGTGGGCAGAGCCTGGATGACACTGATGTCTCCCTAAAGACCCACCTGTTTTTGACCACAGCACTACTCTGCACAGTGGCTTTGAAAAGGATCTCCTGCACCAAGGGTGGCTAACTCGCTGCTGGTCATCTCCAGCAGGATCCCACATGCAACCCGGTATTCTGGAAGAAGCCATCCCCAGTACATTCACTCTTCAAAGGGGTGATAAGGCTGCGACTAGAAATACATCATGCCTCTGAAGAGGCAAAGCCTCCTGCTTGCCCAGTCCAGGAAGGATGGGATTAGCCAAGGGGACTCGATGTGCCCAACTCTCACTGACTGTCCATGAGCGCTGGGCACCAGACTCCCCAAGGCCCCTTTGGAAGTGTCAGCACCGGAGGCTCAGCTCCTTGCATGATCCCAATTCCCTTTAAACTACCTACCCCCACTTGCCCCTAAAGCAGCAGCCTGGAATGGGATAAGCTACCCTATCCATATGCATAGCAGGGTTCTTCCCATGAGGTACCACGGCCCCCTCTCCTTTTAACAACGAGAGTGACTGGAACACCCTGCATAAACCACCAAGATGCCATGAAGCCAGAGGATGGGCACAGTCCTTCCTGAACCTAGCCTGGGGCTGCATGTGTGTGTGGCAGGAGAATGGATGGGCCCTGCTCCCTTCTGTATTGAAACCGTGCTCACCCAGGGCACCTGCTGAGGGGTTCAGCTCAGGGCTAGGCACTGAGCCAATGACAGCAAACTCCCAGCAGCCTCTGCCAATGCCAGCAAGGGGGCCCTTGCCCCTTCTCACTCACCCACCATATCCTCCCAGTAGCTGGACTAGACTGTATCTCTGTGCACGCCTGTTCGTATGAGTCCTGCACAAGGTATCTTGGAGCGTGTGAATCATTGATAGCAATAGCAAGGGGTAAGTACTCTGTGCTTGACAGACGGGCGTGGTGGGAGGTTGTGCTGGCCCACAGCACCCGGCAGGCCCAGATGCTCTCCTCATGCCTGTTCTTCACAGCGCTCTGGGGACAGGAAGAGGCAGCAACTTCCTTTCAGAGAAAAGAGAAGCAGAGCATGGGCTGCGATGCAATCACGGGGAAGCGCCCGGAGCTTGGTAATCATCCTCAGCTTGTTCCCCTGGTTTGAGGGCTGAGCCAGTGCTCAGCAGCATTAGCAGCAGCAAGCTCTCTGGCCCTGTGTATGGCAGAGCTGAGACCAGAGGATCAGTCCATGCAGTTCCATCTGCCTCCAGGCTCGTCCTTTGGCTCAGGTCTGGGACTCAGCACCTGCCCAGCTGAGGACGCTGAAAGATGACAGCACAGGCCAGGGCAGTGACCCTGCACCCTCATGCTCACAGCCATTTAAATTTAACGTGCACAAAAAGAGTTGCTGGTGACAGGGAAGCCCCATCCTTGGACAGCAGGTGGATGTGGCGATATCCTGGGGACAGAAGGAGGAAGCAGGTGAGACTAGAAACACAACAGATCCTGTCTGCTCATTGTAGCACAGTCCTGCCCCTTTTCTTTCAATAGCTCTTTGCAGGGTATTAAGGAATGTATTTATCTGCTACTGAAATGCAGCCACCTCTGGGGTGGAGCACAGCAGCTGTTTAACAGTCCACAGTAATGTGGCACATTGAGAACAGAATAGGAAACTCTTTGCCACCCTGGCTGAGGCTGCAGGGTCGATAATGTAGGCGGGGTCCCTTCTGATCTAAAATGGAACAGAAGAATACACAGAAGATCTGAGGACAAACACTGGAGGGGGACATATAGAATAGGACAGTCCAGCCAGAAGAGGGTAGGAAGCCCCACAGGAAGTACCCTCTGCTGCACTGTCCCTGGCAGAGCTTAGGGAGTGGGGTTCGTGGTGTATCTGGATATGCATGACTGTGGTGAAAGAGCAAGTCTGCCAGAATCAGGCCTGGCACAGGGCAAGGGCTTGGATGCCACAGACAGGGGCCTGGGGAGCTGCTGGGCTGGGCTATTTCAAACTCTCTGTTCCTTTTTTGAAGCCCAACCTCACCAGCCCACACTTCTGCCTTAGTTGCTTTGACATCAGTGTTGCCTCTTACTGAGATGGAAGACAGCGCTGAGATTCTGTGGCAAACACTGAAGGGCATCTCCTCCCCATGCCAGGCACCCACCTTCCTTCATGCTGTTCACGGGCAAGGTGAATTGCCCCACAAAGTCATTGGAGGAAGTGTTGTCATAGTCCTCCACCACGAAGCGCACCAGCGCCAGCTCTGGCACCCGCAGCTGGAAGGTCAGCTTCTCATTCCAGCAAGGATTGAAGCCTGCAGGGGTTGTGGGGAGAAAAAGACAGAGTCACATGCCAAGCACAGCAGCCCATGGGGCACAGGGCACCCAGACACAGCCACCACAGCCCAGCCAAGTAGCCCCCACACCTCTCCTGAGAAAGACAACCCCACGTCTGATCAGAAGCAGGTCCTGGGAATGCACAGGCTGGCCTGGCACCAACTGGGCCTCTCTAGTAGAGAAATCAGGTATAAAGTCTGTTCATGCTACCCCTGACAGCCCAGTTTTTTCACACGCAGTGGCTACAACCCCTGCCTTCTAAGCTGAAGGCTGATGCTTCAGTCTCTTCTGTGAGAGGAAGTGAAGGCAGACAGTCCAAAACCTTGCAGAAGGGGCTGTTGTTGAGCAGGGTGGAACACAGCCAGGTCTCAGTGAGAGCTAACCCCTAAGAGAAGGGCTAGGGAACACCAGTGCTCACAGCTCATCCCAGGGGAGCAGCACAGCTGTACAGCTGGGAGGAAGCAGGAGTCCTGGATCATAGAGAAGTAAGGCTGGAAGGGCCCTGCAGAAGTCATCTAATTCAAACCCCTGCCTGAGGCAGGATCATCTCAATCCAAACCATCCTATACAAATCTATAATCTAAACTCTTCATAAAACTACTATCAATCCTGATGTAACACAAGACACAACAACCTAACCTGCCACAGGTAAAGCAGAGGAACCACAGCAGCCAACTCCCTGTTTCTATAAAAGGTTGTCCATATACATTCAAGAGAGCCCAGTTAGAGGGCCATGACCCCACTACAGAGGAAGGCAAAGACTCCCCCACCATCCATACCAATCTAACCATGGGGTAAAATTCCTTCCCATCCCCAAATATAGTGATCAGTCTGACCCTGAACAGAGGGGTGAGGCCCTCTAGCCAGGAATCTCCAGGTTTAAATCCCAGCAGGAGCTCTAGCACACTCTTGCCTGAGTCCCTTACCTTGGCTGCAGTTAATACCCAATGTCTCTTAGAAAGACTTAAAAACATCCTGATATGTAGCAGAAAGTGGGGGAGGGGGAAACCAGCAAAGCTCAGAAGCATGAGAAATACCCATGGTAGAACACAGGCATAGCTACACCTCGATCATCCCCAACCAGTGTCTGTTCAACGTTTTCTTGAACACCTCCAGTGAAGGAAATTCCACAATTTCCCTAGGCAGTCCATTCCACTATTGAGTGCGACAGTGAAGAATATTTTCCTGATATTCAATCTAAACCTTCTTTGCTGCTATTTCAAGCCATTGGTCCGTGTCCTAATCTCTGCAGTAAGAAGTCACTGGACCCAACTCACCCTTGCCAAAGGACTGCCCCTGAGCCCCTCAGTGCGCTGAGAAATAGTGGTGAGGGCCCCCTTCCTGCCACATACCGCCTTTCCCCAAAAGAGGGTCCCATCCAGGAGCTAATAAGGCTGGATCCTTCTCAGCTCTGAGAGGGTCTGGCTGTGCCTCCTGGTGCCCCACCCCACCTACAGCTGCTTTTCGCTGGCTGGGGCAGGCTGGGCTACTCACCATTGTTGATCTTGTACAATGTATTTTTCTTGTCACAGTCAATGGGGACGCCATGGATCTCCACACGCACAAAGGGGTCCACAATGGAGTTCTTCTTCTCCTTGTTCAGCTTTGGGAGCTGCTGGGCACTGATCACCTGGGAGGAGCAGGGAGGCCAGTTAGTGCAGGGTGGGAACACCCCTGGCTGCAGCTCAGGGTGGGTTGGGAAGGTGCCAACATCATTCTTGTTTGATAGAAGCTTTGGTGCAAGCTGCACTGGGCCCTTCCACCCAGGGTTGCTGGGAAGGGAAGTGGCAGGAAAAGGGAACAGCTGGAAGGTGGAAGAAAATTCAGCACAAGACTGGGAGAGGCAGGAGGCTGGTCTTCCAGTCAGAGACCACCAGTGCCTCCTGCTTCAACAGCACCCCTGCAACACTCCAGTGCCCCACTCTCCGTGCACATGCCCACCCCAACACCCACCCACCCTTGTTGAACCCACAAACCCCTCTGCATAGAGCCCAGCACCTTGATCATCAGCATGATGGACTTATGGCTGGACCCTTGCAATGGGGCCTCGGGTTGGAAGGTGCTCTGGCCATTGCACAGGAATCTGGGCTTGAGCACATAGCCACAGCACCCATTCTCTAGGAAGCGCCCATCATTCAGGTCCATCTCGCAGCCAGGAGTCTGGAAGTTGAGAGCCACTTTGAAACAAAACACAGAGAGCACCCACAGGTTTATACAGGCAAAATCTGAAGGTGCCAGGGCAGGGGAATGTGGGGTTTTGTGGATGTTGCCAGTGTACACAGGCAGGAGCTGGGGGTCTGGGGCAAAGGGGCTGGAGGAGGGGGAAGTGTATATGAGCAGGTTCTGGCAGGGCTGAGGGGAGGGATCTGCTGTGTAAGGCTATGATCGAGGGCACTGAGGCAGGGGAAGCCAGTGTGCCAGACAAGGGGAGGCCCAGCAGTCTCAAGCTGGGACCACATCCCACGCACCCCAAGTCCCTCTTCTGGGATGCCTAAGTGTGAGGGTATGAGGTGATCTTGCCTAGATGGGCTGGCAGAGCCTGCTGCAGCCCACACAGCTCTGCCCTGGGTGGGTGCTGATGCTCTTAGCTCTGCCCCACAGGTGACAGCAACACCAGCCTACAGCTCTGACAAGCCAGTTCCTTTGGGAACCTAATCCTGAGCCTGCTCCAGATAGTCAGCAGAAGCTCAACACAGCCAATGCTTCTGGGTGCCACGAGGGGGAAATGCTGGCCTCACCTGCCCTGAACCCAGTGTTGGCCAGCGGGTAGGGTCCAGCCTGGCCTACCTGGGCTGGGCTATCAGGGATGCAGGCCAGGCATTACCCAGAGGAACCAGCAGGGAGCACCAGTCCCTTATCATCCTTTATCCTCCCCCTCAGTCTCCTCTGCCTCCCTTTTGCTCATACCAAGATGAGCTGGGGAACAAAGCCTCTTGCCCAGGTTGGGGGCTCAGGCTCAGCCCAGTGTCTTATTGGGGCCCATTTCTAATGATAGAAAGGGCCCCCCTCGGCCCTTTCCACAAAGAGCACAAACGTAGGTCAGGACCAGCACACCATGGAACAGATTGGGAAACTGAGGCACAGGACAGGGATACAACTGGCTCATGGGCACCCTTTGACAGGGCTGGGGCAAGTGTCTCCCCCCTCAGGGTCACCCCATGGCTGGTACTGGCCCTGGCCCCAGCTGCCCCCTCACCTAGCTGACAGCCAGCGTTCCACATTTCCTGGGGGTTGAAGTTAGAAGAGTTCATCTTGAGCCCCGCGGGGTAGATGCGACTCAGCTGCTGGGCGTTGTAGCGGACAAAGGCGTTCCCTGTAGCAGGGCAAAGCAGCTTCATGTTTGCAGTGCTGAGTGGGAGGGAGACCCTGCCTCCCCCGTTCCCCCCATGCCTCATCCCTTGAGCAGAGGGCAAGGCCAGGAAAAGTCAGAGCAAACCAAGTCCATGCCTCCCAGCAGCAGCCCACAGGAGCCTGTGACTAGGGATGGGGTGCTACTGTATGTCAGGGGGACAGTGGAGCCCCCTTGAGTCTATTGTCTCAACCCATCAGCACTCTGGGGCAGGGGCATCTGTTCTGTGCTCAACGTGCTGGGCCTAGTCCGGGCCAGGGGCTCCCAGGCATCAGCAAAGCAGGGATGGATTATAGGAGCCTAATCAGTAGAGAATGCCCCCCCGGGAATCTTCCAGGGGTCTCTGGCCAGCTCACCGACATGCACAGCATGACCTTGGTGCAATACTGGACACACCTCATGCCTGGCTCACTCCCCAGCAAAGCCCCGTGCCCTGCCCTGTCCAGGAGCACAGACCTCAGAGGTCCTGGAATGACAGACACTTCCTGTGGAGTAAAATGTTCACAGCAGAGCCCAGCAGGAAGCATGCCTCCCTTCAAAGGCCAAGCCTCAGGCTCAGCCAAATAGCAAGACACCTGCCAGCTCCAGGACAGTGCAGCCAAAGCCATCCCACCCAGTTCACCCTATTCGAGTCTGTGGCCACCTCTAAGGCTGTGCACAGTGGCATAACACAGTCTAACCCCATCTCATGCCATGGCTCCTGGTCTGATCCTGGCAAGCCCAGGCTAGCAAAGCCCAAGCCCACCCCATCAGAGCCCACATAGGGGCACAGCATTTTCCAGCCCAGCTTAGGTGGACCTGTTGCCCAGCAGCCTGGCCCATCCTGCCCACCCGACCCCTCCCTGTCCTGGGTCTGGAGTCTTGGTGAGAAATGAAGTTCCTGCGTCCGTCCATCGGTCTGTTTCCCCCTCCTCCATGTCCAAGCACATCCTCACCTGACTCCTTAATGTACTTTCTGGCCTTCCTCTCATTGAAGGATGACACCTCATGGGCCTGGGGGTTCCTGAGTGCGTGCTCCAGGCCAAGGAAGGGGACGGCCTTGCAGTACACCACCATGTCAGAGAGCTCCTGGGAGACCTGCGAGGCATCCTTGGCCTACATGAGAACACACTAAGGGGTCACTACCTTGTCTATTCCCACAGCAAGCATGGTGCTGGCAAGCCCAGAGTATGGACCCTGCCCCCTGTGCCAGCAGCTGCCCTCCTTGGATCCCCACCCCCCGGTCCCTTTGGAATAGGTACGTGAAGGCCCTGCCGCATTGTATACTGGCCCAGGTGATGGGACATAGTGCTGCTGGACAGACAAGAGCCCCTGTGCCCTGCCAATGTCTTGCTAAGGTTTCAGCCAAACCTTGGCTCAAGGCCTCAGTTGCTAGCAGGCCTCCATTCCCCTGGTCTTCTCAGTTGAATGAGGTCTTGTCTTCTAACCATGTTTCTCCCCTTACCTCTCCCTTCCTGGAAGTTACAAAGTTGTGTGTGCAGCAAAGCAGGGACAAGACCAAGGTGCTGGGGCCTGCACCATCCTCTGCACCCCCCACCCAGTGATCCTCTGCTTTGACAGGCCCCATCCTGTCATGCTGAGCACTCCCAATTCCCACTGATGTCCACAGAAGTGCAGAGGGCTGGATGGGGACAACTAATAGAAACTCTGCTCAGGGGGCCTTAGTCACTGGCTGCTGGGTGATGGGGGCAGGGCAGCACCATTGTTTATTCATATGGGCCCTGCCCAGCTCTCTGGGTCCCAAAGCTGATAGCGGCTGCAGCACGCAGTGGGCCACAGTCTGCAGTGCCTCTCCCATGGGAGGGGGAGCAAGTGGGACTCACCTGTCCATAGAGATGCAATACCCAGCTACAACAGCAAGACACAGTGTTCCTGCTGCCCTGAGACTCATTACCCATCATTTCCCCTATGCTCTACCCCCTGGGCAGGCCCCTATAAGCATGCAGTGGGGAGCAGGGGCTGAATCAGCCCTGCTCTCATCCAGGCTGTGCGCGGCCTCCTGCATGGTCCCCAGAGCCCCTCTCACCTGCAATGGTTTGATGTCCTGCAGTGAATGCGATGACTGCAAGAGAAGAGAAAGTATCATGTCAGGAGCCAGCACATTTCAGCCCCTGCCCCGGCTGCGGGGAGGGAATGTGGCATCCACTGTGCAAGGCAGTGCCAGCTCCTCTGCCCAGCTGCAGACCCAGGCACCCCAACTCCAGCAACCATCCCTGAACCATGGGATGCCACAGCTCAGCACACTTTCTTCTCCTTGTTCCCCAGCTCACACATGTCTTTCACCACAGGGAATCCAGATAGGCCCAGACACCCACTTCACACATCACTTACAGCTGATTAACAGCACACAGCACCCTCCCCTGCACAGCTGGATAGGATGGAAAGCAAAGGGCACTGTCTGGTTCGACCAGCAGAGAGCATCCAGCTCAGGGAACTGTGAGGTATAAGTTGGCCAGGACTGTAGCAACCTCAAAGGTCCTAACACCTAGGCATGGGTGCAGCCTCTGCAGCACTCCCCAGTGTGGGTGCAGCACTCCCCAGCACTCGATCATGGGTATTGTGTCAGCCCAGCCCCACAGGGAGCTCAGTACAAAGTCACAGGGGCAGGCAATGTGAATCACCAACATCACTTCCTACAGGAAGTTACCGCCACCATCAATGGAGAACAGAGAAGAGCTTTCCTTCTCCACAGACATGTATTTTCTGGTGGGCAAGTTTGGTACAAGGCATGGGACATTGTGTCCTGAGGGGGCAGGACCAGCACAGGAGGCTACTCTGGACCAACTGTCGCTGCCCAGAGCTACCAGCAAAGGACTGATCACACAAGCAGCAGCCAGCTGCTTAAGATCACTTAAACCCATGCCAGGCTATCTGTCCTGAGGCAGAGACAGGGGCCAGAACAGAGCTGTTTGTTGTCACAGAGGCTGAGATGGGGGAGGAAGAGAGGGAGGGAAGGGAGCTACTAACCTGGACCCAGTTGGATAGCCTCAGCCCCTTCCTACAGCAGCTTCCTGCCCTGTTCTGGGCAAGCGAAGGTCGTGCCAAGGCTGCTGTAGAGCTGGGGTGAAGATCTCTGCATGGCCAACTCCCACCCCTTGGCATGTGATGGTGCTGGAAAGTTGTGTGCCTAGCTGTCACATCACTATCACCACAGCAGCATGGACCTGTGACATTGCTGGGGCCAGCCACTAGGTCTGAGACCTTGCTCAGAGAATGGACCTCCCCCAGTCCCCATCCTGGTCTGGCCTATTGCCCCCTTACCCTGCGGCCATCCCTCTCCTCTTCCTCCTCCTCCTCCTCGTCAGAGAGAAAACTCAGGTTCTCGAGGTCACCCCTCAGGTCCGGCAGTTTCTTCCCTTTCACCAGGATCTTCCCCTTCAGTTGCTGTATGAGAAGAAAGCCCTTGTCAGAGCTCTGCTGGGGCGGGCTGTGTGACCTGCCCAGCCTCCTCCCCTTCCACAGGAGGCACTGGCTCCCCCCTGTGATCAGGGAGCCCCAAGAGGCAGGGCAAGAGATGGCTGCAGCCAGAGTATTCATTACTGGGCCCCCCAAACCCTGAGCTGGCCTCCAAAGAGCCTGTGGGAACACAGTCCCTGGCCCCAAAGCAGCCAGACTGCTAAGAGGCCTTACCTCTGGTGATGGGAGCACCCTAGGGACCTGCCCATCCAGCGTCTCGGTCAGCAGCATGTCCCCCAAGATGGTCTTCATATGCCGAGCCATGGTTGCCTGCTGCTCCAGCCCACAGTGGTTCTCCAGGGAGAGGATGACAGGGTATGGGGATTGCTGGGGAGATGAAGAGATATCAGGGACAGTGCTGGGTGAGATTGAGCCCTCCCCAGAAGGCCGGTCTGGACAGGAGGTTTGCCACAGGCTCCACAGGCTCCCACCAGTCCACAGCTTCACTGAGTCCAGGTCTCATGGACTAATCCTACCCCATGAAACAGCAGCAGGACTCAGCTGCATGCCTGGTGGGGGTCAAGTAGCTGTGGAAGGGAGAGATTCAAAGCTGACTGCTGCCCACACTGGGGCCAGGGCTCACCTTAAAAGCATAATCCCGGATGCTCTCAATGACGTCCCGGAAGAGGATCTTGGAAGTCAGAGTGTGGCCATGGTAAATGACAGGTTCACCATTGGAGCCCTCCCAGCAGTCCAGCTCCACGCAGCGGCAGCCCTTCATTAATGCTCTGCAGGAAGAGCTGGGTCACTCGAAGGCTGGGCTAACAGTTAAAAGCTGCTCCTGCCCTTAGCACAAATCCAGGGACTCTGGCACTGCTCAGTCACCTGAGCCTTCCTAGACAGGAGTTTCACACAACAGCACCCTCCAGGGACAGCTGCCCCTGCAGGGGACCATTGCAGAGAAGGCGAGGGTCCAGCCCAGTGGAACTGACCCTACCCTCCAGTTTAGCACCATCCATCTTCTCAGAGCTGTTCCCTGCTGTGGGGAGCCAGATCAGAGCCAGCCCCAAGTAGTTTGAAGACAGGTTCCTCCCTCAGAGAGCTCCAACACTCCCACTTTGATGAGGGAGCATTCAGCCAGGCAGCGATAAGATGAAGTGTGAGAAGGGTTGGGCTTACTTGGTCAGTGAAACAGGGGAGGAAGGTGAATGGACAAGGGGCTATAGGACTCCATGGGAGATGCAGGGCTATCCTCCTGACTCAGCTTGCTAGGGTGACTCAACCTGGTCCATACCAGGCAGGTCTCATTTAGTGCCTGCTGAGAGGCCTCCCTGGAGAAACAGGCAGCTCAGGAGGAAGCACAGGTCTGCATTTATGGAAGGCCAGGGCTGTCTCAGGGCCCTGCCACATGAGCAAGAAAGGGGCCAACCTCAGGAAGGGCAGCGTGGCTCAGAGCCCTCAGGGGAGCCTTGGCTACTCATAGGCTTCCTTGTGTTTCTAAGGAGATATCAACCCCAGTGGGAAGAGCAGCACTTCATAGGACAGACACAACAAGGGCTCAACCTTTCAGCATTAGGCTTAGGCTGGCCCCTGAGTGGGGTCAGGAACAGGCTCCTACCAATGATCATGTTATTGCCTGGACAGGGGTTTCACCCTTTACTTGATGCACCTGGTACAGTGGCTGGCACAGGGAAAAACTGGCCACAGGCATGGCTTAATTTCAGCTGGGCTCTGGTGCTCTAGAGCAATGGCTGCCCAGAGACCCCTCTGCAATGGCTGAGATGTTTTCAGCTGGTGTTTGCTCCCAGAATCCCTAGGTGGGTTGCCCCCCACCTCTGCACCAAGGCTCCCAGCTCTCAATGCCATGATCCCTCAGGCCTCTGTGGTGACACCCAGCCTCCCACTGGCCTCTACCTGATATAGGCTTCCGTGCTGCTGGGTCCCCCAATCTGGTTGTCAGTCAGGTAGGTGTTGTGGGAAGAAGAGATGAAGTAGTGGCACAGAGGGTGGTTCATGTCCTGGTAGACCCTGGTGTGCTCCTGGTTCAGGATGTTGCCATCAGCAGAGAGTAGGTACATCATGAACCCATCCAGCATCATGAGGTCTTGCTGCTTGGCTGCAGGGAACAGATTTCCAGGGACTCTCCAAAAGTTGTATCTGGGCACAAGGCCCTTCCTGGGCACCTCCCATGCTCCGTGGCCACCCAAGCCTTGGTTAACCAGCCTAGGGTAGTGCATGGGCTCTTGGCAAAGCCAGGACAGAGGATTCAAGAAAAGGGGGCAGGGCAGCTGCATAAGGAAGTGTCCCCTGATGGGTAGGGGGCATAGTACTAGGAGCCAGGCTTCATAGGTCCTCTCTCTGGATCTATTCTCTTACCAAGTGGTCCAGGACATGGCACGTCCCATGCTCCTTGCCTCATTTTCCCCAGCCATAATGCATTTCCATCATGCCTGTGCCCTTTGATACCTGTTTCCACTTTCAGGAGAACACCAGGAGTAGACTCAGGGGCAGAGACAAATCTGAGGGAAGAGGCACATGCTACAGAGCTGGAAGTGGGTTTCAAGGGGAAGGAGAGGATTTCTGGGGAAACCTGGGTCAGGCCCCACACTCCTGTCTGGGCTGGCCTGCCAAGATCCTAACGCCATAGACATTCTCTGGTAGGACGAGCTTCATGCATCCAGCATAATTCATTAACTCTCCTCACACAGTGCTTGTTGAGTAGCTTGTAATACCCCAGTTACAGCTGGGGAAACTGAGGCATGGAGCACAGTGCTGACTTGTTTGAGGCCTGCAAAGCATCAGTGACAGAGCCATCCTGTTGTGGCAGAGACGCCCCAAGCTAAAGCCATGGACATGGCCCAGGAGCCCTTGACTCCCCACCACACACTTAAGAACAAAGGAAACAACTGGCAATCTGAGCTCCTAAACCCCCCTACTCTAACCACTACCCCACACTCCCCTCTGCCTGGCTGGGGAAAGGAGCTGCATAGCTGCAATAGGAGACAAGAAACCTGCTGACACTGGGGCCTGATGGGGCCCCTGGGAGCTGCTACATTGGTTTAATTAAAGCTGATGTTGGTTAAACTGGAGAAGTAGCCGTGTTTACACCAGCCCTGGAATACACAGCAGTGTGTGTCCATGTTTTGCACTCTCAGGGACAGCTAGGAATCTCCCTCCCGCTTTGGGGGCGCTCATCCTCTGCAAGCCAAGCCTGTTGGTTCTCAGCTCCATTTCCAATGGGAGAAGCAGCCAGGTCCTCAAAGTCACTAAGGGACATTGGACCAAGGATGGAACAGCCCATGGAGTCAGCATTCCTCTTTCATTGCTGCATGGGCTCCACACAGGGCAGCTCTGAGGCATATGGCCAGGGGAAACCATACATTCTTTAACTCTACAGACCCTACAGACTAGTGCAGGCGCTAGGGCAGCAAACCAGCCTGCCTATGACAGACATCAGTGAGTCCAAGGCCCCAAGTCAGGCTTCCTGAGCAGACACTACCTTTCTCATTGAGCTCGTAAGTCTGGATGATCCTGCGGGCATGAGCCAGATTGGTCTTCTCCCCCTGGTCCTGCAGGAACTCCACCAGCTCCTCAACCGACAGCACACAGTCCTCGCCCGAGTAGTGGTAGAAGATATCATCCAGCTCAGGCCGCTTCATCAGCCGGGTGCAGAACTCCTCAATCTCATGCTCCTCCAGCCGGTCATTGTTGGACTTGTCACATTCCTGAGAGCTAAGCTGAGGGAGCCCAGAGCAGGAGGGCAAATGCCCTCCCACCAGCCCAAGGGCACCCTAGCCCTGACAGGTCAGGTGGCTTTAACCAGAGAGAGTCTAACTGAGCGGTCAGAGCTGGGAGCCAGGATGCCTGGGTCTTCATCCTGGCCCTAGGAGGATGGATCAAAGTGGAGATGCGATTGCTTCCATTTCACAGATGAGGAAGTGACTTGTGCAGTCATGTAGCACACAGGTGGCAGAGCCAGGCATGACCTCAGGACTAGACTATGTCTACATTGAGCCCTTCACTGAGCCCTCCTGTCAGTCCATGTCCCGAGTCCTTGCAGGGGGGCTGGCACTGAGCTGGGGCTTTTATGACCTGGTATTCAGCTGCTCTATGACCTTTGGGCCGTGTGCTCAGCCCCTCTTAGCTTTCAGGGGCTCATTTGCTGGTGCTGAGCTCTAGCAGCCATGCCTGGACCTGGGCTTGGGTTTCAGGCCACCAAAGGTCAGGGCCTGGCATTTCTCTCTGTGCTGGGGTCCCAAGACAGCAAGTTGAACAAGATGATCTTCAGAGGTCCCTTTCAGCCCTGCTTTTCTAAGATTCTAGAAATAAGTTGCCTTTCAGGCCAGGAGCTTTCTGTGGCCCTGCAAACATGAGCTCCACCCCTCCTGCTCCTAAGGAGCCCTCAACCAAGTATGGCCAGAGGAAGGGGCAGGGGTGGATGTGACCCCTCTCCCATCCCGGACCCAAAGGGTTAACAGGCTCTGGTCTCTGGCAGCTGCCTCCCCCAGCTCAGCTGAGGAAGATGAGGCTCCAAGGGTTTCAGGTTCTTCACAGCTGTGTGAGGTGCTGAGCCATGACTTGGAAGAGTAGGGCCACCTGCCTTGTGGTGGGGAGGAGGTAAAGTTACAGCTCTTAGCATCCAGGCTCCTCTTGCCTAGGGACTTGACTGCTACTGATATCTGTGGCATGGCTGGAGATCGATGCTCCAGCCCTGAGCTAAGATCACACCGTTTTCACCTTTCCCAGCAGGAAACGCTGGTCTGAAACCAAAGAGAACTTGTCTCGTTGGGTGGGGGACAAGCTACTATGAGAGCAGGCTCAGCTCGGAGGGGAAGAGGGGTCATATAGGCCAGGCCCTGGCCTGAGCTTATGGAGACTAGGGTTCAGCCTTTGTTCTCTGCAGCACGACCCTGGGCGTGTCAATGGAAGTTTTATGAAAGAGCTTTGGAAAATCCCAGGAACTCTCAGGGACTCTGCTCCTCAGTGAATCTGAGCCTCGCTTCTCCAGCTGGAAAGTGGGAGCTATGGCATTTGTCTTGCCTGGACTAGGAGCATTGTTGGACAGGTGTGTGTCTGTGTTACAACTGGCACAATGATGCCTGGAGCTGCTGTGCGAACAATGTTTTCGGGTCAGCCTGAGCCATCTGATGGCATCTATACGAGAAGGGTTGTGGGGCTGGTATCAGCTCTGTTCTTTGTAGACATGCACTACCCTCCCACAGCCTGGCACGCATTCAGCTAAGAGGCCAGGGGTTGAACATCCTAGAGGCTGAACATATCCTTAGGTGGGGGCCTGGATCAGGCTGGGGTGCCATGGAGCCTGCACCCCCAGCCACATGGGTCTCCAGAACAGCATTCCCTCTAAGCTGCACAGCATGCACGGCCACGCAGGTGCGCTCATGCCATGCTTCCAGGCGCGCCTGCGTGGCCACGCATGCCACGCAGCTTAGAGAAAACGCTGCTCCGAAACTCAGTCAGGCCCCTCAGTCAGAAGTGTTATTGCTACCCTAGTTTCTTTCCAGGTACAGCAGAGGACTCTGCTCTTGCTCCCAGGGGTTGATGTTGAAGAATAGAACTGCCTTGAGGAACTAAGGCCTGCAGGCCCCTCACCTTCCCTGCGCTCTCACAGGCTGAATGCTGCTACAGTTTTGCTCAGACCAGACACTAATCCAGCTCCACCTGCACCATCCCCACCCCAGTGCACCAGCTACAATTCTTGCCCCAAACTAGCTCCTGGTCAAACCCAGCCTCCTTGACAGGATGAGACTGAGGGCCCAGAGCACCCTGTGCTGCCAGTCTCAATCAGACCCACGCCTGCCCAGGGTCTGGGTGGTCACAACTCAGACAGGCACATTTCTGAGCTGCTGCAGTGGGAGTGCTGGACCCAAAGGGCACCATGAACCAGATCTGGCACCCCCAAAAATGTCCCTTCCCCTGCACTGTGCAGTGTTCTGCAGCGAGTCTCCCACCTCTCTCTCATTTCTTGTAGAAACAACTTAATTGTCACTGGGAAATCCAAGACTGCAAAGCCCAGTGCTCAGGGAAGATGTGACAGATCAAGGTCTGTTTCTTGCTCCGTTGAGTATTAAATTATTTCTACAAAGGGGCATGGCTACCACAGCAGAGAGGAAGAATGCCCACCCCAGAAGGTCATACAGCTGGTGGCCGTCACTTGCACGTGGGATATGGGAGAACCTAAGCTCTAGTCCATGCTCCAAGCCAGGCAGAGCAGAGACCTCAGAGTGGGTCTGCCATCTCCCAGGTAGATCCCATCCCCTGGAGAGAGTGGTGTCCATCTGGTCATTGTGAGGAAGGAACATGCCGGAACAGATGTCTACCCCATTACAGCATCCATGGTTAGGAGTCCCCAGGGAAGCTAGGACTGCTAGGGAGCAGAACTTCCCACTCTCCACAGCATCCCCACAGCAGCTGAGGCAGCTTCTACCCTATTTGGCGACTATAGCTGTGATGCCTGACCCAGACTCCATCCTGGGTAATTCCAGTCTATCAGTGGAAATCCAACAGTGGAAGGTCAATACACACCAATGCAAAGTGCTGGGCCTAGGGAAGAATAAGCCAGAGTACAAATACAGAATGGGAGGTAACTGGCAGGGTGACAGCATTGCTGAGAAGGACCTGGGGGCTTTGATGGATCACACACTCAACAGGTTCAATGTGATGCAGTTGTAAAAAAAGCTAATTCAAGTTTAGGCTGCATCAGCAGGAGTATTAGGTATAAAACAAGAGACAAGATGGTGTCGCTGTACCCAGTGCTGATTAGGCCTCATCTAGGGTACTGTGTGTAGTTCTGGGCTCCACATTTTAAGAAGGATGGTTGCATCTACACATTCATTAATGCGCCAAAGTTACTGCAAATTTAATTTAGTACTTGCTTAATGAAGCACTAAGTTACTACTAGTTACTGTGCAGTAGTGCCAGCGAATGCCTTTTTAGTGACGCTACTGTGCAGTAGCCTAATAATACTGAGGAGTAGTGTATTAGCTCTGTCTGTGCTGTGACACACTACTGCACAATGTTGTTAGGCTACTGTGCATTAAGCATCTTGTGTAGACACAGTCTATGTGGAGAATTTAGAGAGGATCTAGAGGAAGGCAACAAAAAAAAAGGGGTTGGAAGGCAAGCCAAATGAGGAAAGTAGTGATTCTCAACCAGGGTGCTGCAACACCCTGGGGAGCCTTGAGATCCTCCTATGCTAGCACTGCTAGGTGTGGACACATGATTCACAAGATAAACCAAGAAATTTCAAATAGAAAACCACAGTGTCAAAACAATCCTGCCCTGTTGTAGGCTTTCTAAGTCCTTTGCAACAGAAAAATTGCTCTATTATTTGTCTGTAAAGAAGTGAAAACTAGGAGCTGGAACTTTCTGAGGAGTACCTTGAATCTAAAAAAGGCTGAGAACCACTAGAGGAAGGGTTGAGAGGATTGGGCATGCTTAGTTTGCAGAAAAAAGCAATTAAGTGGGAGCCATGGTAGCAGTTCTCAAATATCTGAATGGCTGCCATAAAGAAGAGGGAGAACAACTTTTCTCCCTTGTTGCAGAGAGCAGGATGCATAGCAATGGCTTCATGTTATGGTAGAGCAGATTTATATCGAATATCAGGAAAAAACTTCTACACTGCTAGAAGAGTGAGGCAGTGGGATGGACTGCCCAAGGAAGCTGTGGAATCTCCTTCACTGGATGTTTTTAAAAAGAGGTTAGATAACACTGGACAGGGCTGGGTGAGGAGTGGCGTGCCTGCATTCCGGCAGAGGGTTGGCCCACATGACCCATCCATCCCACCCTGCACTCCTGTGATTCTACGAGCAGGAACGGTGCAGCTTCCAGTGGGAATGCTGCAGGGGTGGGGCTGGCTTGGGTGGTCAGCAGAGCTGGGCTTTATGCCCTCCACCCTTCCCTGCTTTATTTGTGACTCAAAGGAGCATGAGTGACTGGTGCCTCCTGAATCTAGGAGGGGCACCCACAGAAGCCACCGACAGTGGCGGCTCTGTCAGGGTGGAAATCAGTCCTACTGACAGCATCAGTGTCAGCCATCGGGGGGGCACCGGCTCCATGGGGGGGGTCACGTGTACCCCCGTGCACCCCCTACCAGTCACCTATGCGAAGGAGGCAGCTCTGCTCCTGCCTGCACCTTACCCTAAGCCCTCACTCCACTGCGGATTGCTCCTGTCTCTCTCTGGCACAGGCTGAGTGCTTAATGGGATGCAGATGTTTCTGGCTCCAAAGCAAAAGGTGGGGGGTGGGGCTGTGTCTGTGCTGGAATGCACTCTTGCTTCTCCATCTCCCTGCAAGGCTGACAGGCTTTCTGGGTCAGTGGGGAGAAGAAGGGGAAGGCTGCCTGGCTTGGAGCCATTACCCGAGGCTCTCCTGGGTGGGCTGAGCTCTGAGGCCCTGCTGGTAGTGTTCTGCCTTCCATGGCGTTGCTGGGCTCAGGCTTGCTGGGGGCACACGGAGAGTGGATTCATGTCCAAGGTGAGGGGAGAACCCCCCAAAGTCAGGGCCTCTTCTCCCAGATGAAGGGCGTTGGGCTTGGATTAGGACCCGGCAGCCAGCACTCATCCTCAAAGGGGACAGTTCACCATGTTTCCTGTCAGAAAATGCTAATTTGTCAAGAGCAAATGTTTTGTGGAGACTGCCCCAGTCCCAACAGGGCAGGGTGGAACAGGGGTGGGCTGGAGCCTACAGTGCAATGATCAGCCACCGGTCAGGGCACTCCCAGGGAGGGTGGAGACACAGGCAAAAGTCCCCGCTCTGCCTGTTTGCAGCAGGGGATGGCACTTGGCTCCCTCATGGCCTGGGCGAGCACCCTCACCATCAGGCTGTCAGCTGCTTCAGAGCAAACCTCCCCCAGCCTCTCCAACTGGAGCCATTCTGCTTTGTTTAAGTAATTACAGAGGCCCTGGAGCTGGGCCTCACACACCCTGGGTGAGCGCCTGGCTTCCTGCCCCCATCGCTATGTAATTATTTATACCAAGTGGAGCAGGTGGGGTGGGAGGGCCCTCTCTCCTGAATTTTAGGGTCAGGGTATGCTATCAATTGCTGTCAGTGGGTGTGTGGAAAGGGTACCTTGAAGAGCTGGTGGGCATAGATGTCATTCATATCAATGTTGATCATCCTCAGCATGTTCTTGATCTCCTTGAAGCACATCTTGTTGTCTTTGTCCTTATCAGCCTGGCGCAGAATGTCATGGATCCAGATGCAGCAGAGGTTAAGGAAAGCATCTTCACTGAACTCACCAGCTCCAGCTCCCCACCGCTGCCTGCCCTCCCCACTCCTTATACCCACACCCACACCTCCAGATCAGTCTGTGCCAGGGAACCAGCTGCCAGGCTGTTGAAATGAGCTGCCGGGGCCAGTTCACTCCATAGAGGACTCCCTTCTGCTGAAGCCTTTTCTGCCATGGAGCTCAGTTCTACCATAAGGACTGGCTCCAAAACTGACTGCAGCCAGTGGAGCTTGCATAGGCTTCAGTCAGGCCCTGAACAATCTGTGATGGGACCGGAGTAGACTCTCATCTCCCCTTTCTGCCACCCAAGAGCCATAACCATTTCCCCACTCTCCACCACCCTCCCAGCCTTGTGCTGCTTTAGCTGATTTAACTGAAGGGGCTGGTGCTCACACCCAGCTTGTACAATCAAAAACACAGTTCCTATATGGCAGAGGACTTTCTTGTATTACTGGCATGTACCCAGGAGAAAACCCTGGGGGTCTGAAGACATCAGGCTGGTGACCCTGAGGGCTGGAAGACTGGTGAAAAAGGGAGACCCATTGAGGCAGGTTTTTGTAGGCCCTGTTGCATGGCCATGGAGCAGGACCACAGTGAAGGATAGACTCTGGGAGATTTCCATCAACTCAGCTGGAAAGGATATTGGTCAAGTTTCTCTCTCTGGCTCATGGCTTTCACTCTGGCCATAAGTTTGTTCAGGCCCCGCACCCACGTCTGGGCCTCCTCCTCACGCTGGGCAGCCAAGTCCAGGTTCTTCCGCTTGCCCTTGAAGACAATGGTGAAGCAGTGCTTCTCAGGGAAGGAGCTGCCATACTTGCGGAGGCCCTCTGATTGGTAGCCCTCACGCACACCTTCAATGTGCACGATGGAGACTGCAAGAGAAGAGAGCTAGTGGCATCACATGCTGGACACACACATCTGGGCTTGGGCTTCTCTTCCCTGGTTAATAAGGACCTGCTGGGGTAGAGGGGCCTATGCTTCCAGCCTGCAATTTACTGAGAACCTTTTAGAACCTGCTGATGGGTCAGTGGGTCCTGCCATCAGAAGGGCCCCAGAAGGCACCGCTGAGCAGACTATATCAGCTGGCCTCTTGACCCTACTGCTGGGAACCCAAGTGGACTGGGTATTCTTGGTGGGATGGAGGCATGGGAGAGATCCCTCAAGAGGTTTGCAAATGACAAACTGTGTTGCTGCCCTGGTGCAATCCCTTCCCCACCCCTCCAACACATACTGTTATCTATGGGTATGGGCATCCGATCAATTGACCCCAGGGCAAAAGCAAGTGGTGATTTACACCATATCAGCAACTCCATGCACAATCTTATTCCATGGTAAATGGAAACTGAACTGCAGTAGCTTAGACCCTCAGTAAAAGAGCAGTTTAGTTTCCACTTAACACAGGGCATGTCTACACTTCACCTTACAGTGACGTTGCTACCGCACCGTGCTTTAGTACCCAGTGCCGTTACTGTGCCGTGAGCATGGTGCACAGGTAGATTTCACCGCTACATTGCTGTAGCAGCATGCTATAACCAGGAAGCGTGCCACTACAGTGACATAGCTGGCGATCACCTGTAGACCCGCATGATCACTACAATGCCACAGCATGCCATACAGCGACATAGCGCATCACTATGTCACTGTACAGTGACATGTAGATGCGCCCACAGAGTAAGAGATGCACACGAGCACTTACTGTGGAACAAAAGCTGCACAATAAAGCCCTATGGAAAGGTTCTGAGTCTCAGGGCTGTCTCATGTGTCCCGTTCCCTCCCTGGACTGAAGCTGGGTGGGTTAACCAGTTTGGCTACAAGAAGAACAGTTTCTTTCCCCTCCCCAGGAACTGTCACCAGGGAGCTAGAGGTGCACACACCCTTCCTGAAGCTCAGGCCTGACTCTCCTGCTAGAGCTTGTTCCCCTGGTTGCTGCTATAGTCTGGATACTACAGCCAAGCAACACCTTCTTGGCTGCTTATTTGACCTGTGTTTGAACTTTGAGCCTTTTGAAGCCCGTTACCACCCAAAACCAGCTGGGAGGAAGGACTCCACTCCCCGCTCACCCTACATGCCAGCTACATCAAGGAAGAGCTGAGCAGAATCTGAAACTTGCTGGGTTTGAGCTTTCACTGTTGGCCAAACCAGGTCCACATCAGCTCACAAAACCAAAGCCATCTGGCAGTGCCATGGCTGGGACTCCAGGGGTTTGGTACTCTTAACAGAGCAGTTTAGCACCCAATGTATCCCCACTGTGCCACACTCTCAAATTCAGGGCCCATGGGGCAAACCTGGGAGAGCACATGGATTCTGCTGGGGACAATGCAAAACAGACTGGCTCCATGTTGCTTTGAACGTTAGCTAGGCAGGACCCATCAGCTCAGCCCTGTGGTCTGGGATTGGTTGGGAACTCATGCCCAGCAGTACCAATGAGTCCGATCCATCTCCACTTCTCACCTCCACAATGTATGGTCATGGGAGTATTTTGCCAAAGTGACTTCTGTTCCCCCCTCAACCGCACTGCCAAGGGCAGCATTTTCAATAGGGCTCAAGAAATTGAAGAACTTAGTCCTGTCCTCCTGGGTAGAATTTTAACAAGGGTCTTGCCTATCTTCAACCTGCTTACTCTACAGAGGGAGCCTGAATACTGTGAGATGCTGAGCAACCTCCACTGCCTCAAAGGATCTGGTTCCAAAGGACCAGATTTTCACAAGACCTCTGCCCGCTGGGTGCTAGTTTCTCTGAAGCTTGGGCCCTGACTGTTGAAAGAGCACCTACATGGGCTAATGGGCATCATTCTGCTGATTTTATCAATGCCCACTGCGGGGATGACACCAGGGGAGTTGCCTCTCCACCAGTTTCCTGGGTGACTGAGCTGAGATCTGTATTGCATTTCACGCTCTCATTAGTATTACATTAACTGGTTATGGCAGTTAGTCATGGATATAAGCAAATGGTTCTCACCCCATTAGACCCAGTGCATCCCTCCATAGACTCAAGGCACCCCTCTTGAAAATCTAGCTCTTAGTTATTTTTTGACTACAGAAAAATAATAAAGCAATTTTCCTGATGCAAAGAAGTTAAGAAGACCACAACAGGGCAGAATGTGTTTAAACCTATGGGTTCTTATTTGAAATCTCCAAGTTGATTTTGTGAATCACATTTACACACCTAAAGAGCTAACATTGTGTGGCACCCCACAGCACCCTTGAAAGAATCTCAAGGCACCCCAAGGTATTACAGCACCCTGGTTAAGAACTACTGATCTGCGCTCTTTTGCTGCATTCACTGTGGGGCTCTTAATGCCAAAAGAATGTGGCTGCAGCAGGGAGACTTCAGAGAAAAGCAACAAGCACATAGCAAGGAGGCAGTACTTCTGAAGGACCAAGAGTTTCATCAGGCAAATGCTTCTACGGACATCCAACTTCATGCTCCCAAATGGGTTATTGCAATGAATGGGTCTGTGCCTGGTTGTAGGGTGGGAAGAGGCCTACCGTATGTGGCACTGGGGAACAGCTGTGCCCCATGGCAATAGCCTACTGGACCTAAGCACAGAAAATGTAATCCAGCTCTTCGAAGGGTATCTTCTCAGTGAGCCCTCAGGCTGTGGGCTAGGCTGCCAGGGAAGTCCAGACCCTGAGCTGGGATGCCAGAGAACAAGGGCACCATTTTTAGTCTGCACCCAGCATGCTGGGCTCTGTGGAAACTTGGATGAACCAAGTGCGGTGGGATGTCCAGCAGGAAGAGCCTGGCCCTGACAAAAGGGGCCAGGGACACACAAGACCTGTGTTTAAATCCAACTCCTCTCATTCTAATCCCGGGCCAGACAGAGGTCCTGTGAGCAAAGAATTTGGTGTCCCTGACCGAGACAGTGCTCCAGGCCGCTGTAGTGCAGCATGAAAACTGAGCTGTGTGTCTGCATGTATTTGGGGTGGGGGATGTCTTGCTTGGTCCAGAAATCAAACCAGAGCATATCTGCCAAGAGATGCTAAAAAAAGAAGTTATGGTGAGGACAAAAAGGGGTTGCGATAGCATGGAGAGCCCTGAACAGAGAGGTGGAGACACCTCTTGGCAAATCTGTTGGCTGGCTCTGACCCTCTGCCAGAAGGGCAGTGGTGATGGAAGCCTGCAGTTGAGAGCTCTGTGCTGCTTGTCATCCTGGAGGTCATGCCCCTAGGCTTTTTCTAGGCCTGTCATTTGATTTCTCTGAATAGCAGTGGGAATCTGGAAAGGAGTGAGTGCTAGGTCCTGGTGTGGCTGTGGTTCTAAGCACTGAGACAAGGCTCTAGGTTGTGTGGTGTCACAAGGAGCACTGGGTTCTGAGATTTTTGGTGCACAGAGGTCGATCTTTGTTCTAGGGTGTTTTCCTGCTTATGTTGGGTTCTGGCTTCTAGATTGGAGGAGGTTGTTGTTCTGGGTGCTGCATTTGTGGGAGCTTGGGTTTTGAATCCTAGGGTGGTGTGGTGGACCCTGTGCTTGGGATTCCCCACTCTGTGTTGGAGAGGACTGGTTCGCAGATTCTGTATGGTGCTTCCCCTGAGCTGTGACTTACAGATCTGCTTGGAATGAGCCCGTTGAAAGCGGCTCTCAAACCAGATGGTCATCCCATCCTCCTGCAGGCGGTATAGCCGTTCCTTCTGCCCCCTGTGTGACTTGATCTTCCACAGGAGGGAACCCTTCAGCATCACCTTGATATCTTCATCTTCTGTCAGACCTGTGTGAGCAAAATAGCGGAACCCGTCAGCTCTCCAAAGCCAGCAGTCCCTGCTGCCAGGCTAGTCACTCTGGGCTACCACTCAGCTACATTCCTCAGCTGCCCCAGCCCCTGGGTGAAAGGTGGACAGGCTTCTGATCATGCCTGTCGATGCTTTGTCCTGCACTAGGGGAATTCAGGCCCTGATCAATGAATGGACTCCAGCTAACCAGCATGTGCAACATCCAGGCAAAAACCCAGGCACACCTGCTCCAGAAAGCCCAGGCTTCAACATCTCCAGCTAAAAAAACTCTCCTTTATCTACAGAAGAACTAGGTTTTATGCCTTTGTAGGAGACACCACCAGTGAGTGACAAGATTGTCCACATGCACACACAAGTTCACTCACACCAGACTAGAGGGCCTCACAATGGTATTTGACACCCATAACAGGGTCATCTGGGCTGCCAGAGCCAGGCTATTGGCAAGGCTCTGGACCCAGTGTCAGTGGATACAAGATCTACTCTTGGCTCTGCCAGCATCTTGTGGGCACTCGGACCAAAAGCAGCCACTCAGGCTCTCAGATACTTTCTGGCCCCTCAAGGTTGCTTCCAAACACTAAGGCACTGAAAAGCAGCGATTTTGGAAAGAGCAGCCTTGGCTGCGCCTCCCCAAGGGATAACAAGATGGCACCAGGCAGTCAGGGAGTGAAAAACACTAGGTCCAAGAGCAGGGGTCTCCCTCCCCACCCACCTGTCTCCTGGGCACCATGTAGTTTGCAAGCACAGCTCCAATCATGCCCGCCTTGAGCAAACAGTGATATTGCACATGAGGCACCAAATGAGCTGCTGGCCTGAAGGCTGGTTAGAGATAAATACGGAGCATGCTGAGCTTGAGCCTGCTCCTGACTCAATTGTCTCCCCAGCAGAGTGACCAATTCTCCTCTGGGAGTCGCTAGGCTGGCAGCAAACCACAGCCCACAAACCACAAAGGGATGGCATGCATGCAAGCAGGGGGGGACTGGGCCCTTCCTCAGGGCAGCTCTCCTCAAGCTTCCAGTGCCAATCTGCAATCTGATTCAGGCAGGGCTCCATGAAATGAACCAGGTCAGTTGCCCTTTCCCCAAGGAGTTCAGAGAAGCAGCAATAAACCACAAAAAGGAAGCTGCATTGAGCGTTTGTGGGTGAACGGGATCCAGGACTCCTGGATTCCAGTTCTACTTAACACCCACAGCCAGGGAAACCAACGTGCTGAGATCTCTGGAAAATCAAGCCCTAAAGGCCTGACTTTCCAGAGCTCCTTAGCTGCTGCAGCTCCCCTCAATTTCAGCTGGCAATTCTGCTCCAGCTCCTCATCCATGCAAGGGGCCGCTGCTCCTGACCTCACCAGGGTGCTCTGAGGCTGCCTCGAAAAGCCCTTTATCATCCATGGGGGAATGATGCTGCTGCAATTTAAAGAGCCATTCTATTTCACAAGGGGCAAACCTGGTTTCTTGGGCCTTGTGAAGAGTCACTGTCCATCTAAATTACTACTATAAACTTTCTGCACAGCCTCTATCCCTATTACAGTTGTGATGGGAAATGCTGGGGTCATCTGATCCCAGCAGTCTTTCCTGCCCAAGTGCAGAGTGCTGGACCCAATGATCTGTAAGGTCCCTTCCAGACCCTATGAAACTATGGCAGAGTTGCAGTTGCTGTGAGACACTGTCTCTGAGGCCTGAAGTCTGGATGAGCGTCTGATATGTGCTCCCCCCACAACACACACACACAGAAAATAAGAGAGAGGGAGCTGGCAGGGCAGGTGCTGGCTGGGAGCAGATCTTCCCAAGCAGGGGGTCATACAGAAAACAAGATGTAATCTCAATCCAGCACATCAAGTCACCAGCTGTACACAGTTCTCCAGAGCAGCAGCGGCTGCAGTAACAGCCAACCACAATCCAACCTTGTCCCTGAGCCACGGCCCCTTTTTAAGACCCCAGATCACGCAGGGATATATGCAGTGTTCCAGGAATACAGAAGACAGCCTTAAAGGGACACTCATTTTGAGCCCCTAATCTAGTTTTGCCAGGATTCAAAAACCTGCTGCCTACTTGATTTGAAATGAGAGGAGCTTGTGAGGGTGGGGAAGGGAAGCAGGGATTTGCCTGACTGCACTGGGATTTGGGTGCCAACTCCTTTGGGTTCCTCTGACATCCCCAGCCCCAGCTCTTCCCTCATGGAAGAGCAATGGGAAGTGCCATGTCTCCAAGCCAGAACAGGGGAGGCGGGAAGCGAGGCTGGAGAGACAAGATTCATAGACTGTAAGGCCGGAACGGACCTCGGAAGATCATCGGGTCCAGCCCCCAAGGTCAGCCTAAGCAGCCCAGCTTTACCACCCGTGTGCAGAGAGATGCTCAGAGAAGTGACAGTCACATCTGTTTTATGCTGAACCTCCAGCAGCAGCACCTGCAGGTGCCGCTCATAACACAGGGGAGGAAGGGGCTTGAGAAGAAATGGGCTTTCCCTGGACAGTGGGGCTGGTTCCTCTCTAAGACTGGTGGAAAGTAGAAGTAAGAGGACTGAGCTAACAGAGTAACACCAGGGTATAAAGAGGCAGGCAGTGGATAAACAGGCCCAGAAAGTCCTTAATTAAATTTAAAAATATGGAAATTAAAGAGCCATGGAAAATCCTTCCACAGCCTCCAGAGGAAAAGAGCCAGAAACCAAGTGTAAATTCAGTTTTCATCACTTCCTTTGCAACAAACCCTCATACACAGAATGGAAATCCAGACACCACTCCCTGGGTGTGTGAGGCTGTCCAGCATGACACTGGCACAGCCACCACCCCAGTGCCCTCAGCTGTATCCCCTGCTCTCAGCACAGCTCGGCCAGCTGAACTGTAGGAAGGAGTCAAGAGCAAAGCTGACTTGCTCTGGACCTAAGCCTACTCCCACTTCAGCTGTGGAAACATCTCCATTGACCTTAGCAGCGTGTGGTCAAGTGCTCAATGGGGAATTCCCTTGCTCACTGCTTCACCGGCCTCTGTAGAGGCTTTGGCTGACATCAGAAACAGGGAGGATGTTTGAGCCACAAACAAACCCAACCCTCCTGAAACCATGCTGCAGAGTGGGGAGTGAATGCCTTCTACTTTGGTGCACCCAGACCCAGCTATCAAGCTGACCCCTGTGGGCCCAGCCTCAGGAGGCCCCATGGGGGACATTGGGCAGAAGACACTATCCCAGGCCCTTCTGGCAGCATTTGGATGCATGTCAACACCCTACCCTACCCTGCCTTTCAATCCTTATCTGTCTCCCTCCTCCCCAGAGAGGATGGCTCTCAGGTCTGGCTGGTGACAAACATGCCTCATTTCCAGTCCAAACACTGGCCACTGCATTGATCCTCCACATTCCTGAGGCAGCCTGCTCCCTCCAGGAAAGAAAGAGTGGGCTTGTCCACTCCCTCCAGCTTCCCCAATCTCTACAAAGCTAACCCCTTGCTATATATGCCCACATTCCCTTCTCCTTTCCATGCCACCAAGTCCCAGAAGGACAGGAGGGGGCAGGAGGAATCGGCTAAGTACAGGTTTTGGAGGAGGCTAACAACGTTCCAGCTGTTACTCAGGGCAGCTTGGTAGCCAGAACAGGTCCCCAGGTGGCCTGTCTGTAAGCATACCATGGTTTGGGATGGTCTCCCACAGAGGGGCTAACCAACTTTACCCACTTGCAATTATATTACCGCATGGATGTCACTAGGCAGGTGTCAGCTGTTCCCACATACAACCTGCCCTGCCGCAGAACAGGCTCAGCCAGGGGCCAGACTGACAGAGACCTGCACTCGTGTCCACCAGCAGAGGCCAGATAGTCAGTGATGTTTCAGCCAGGTCTTGCCTGAGCAAGTCAGTTCCCTCACATGCTTCCAAAAATCCCACTTTGGCACTGCCAAGCTGTACCCTTTGGCTTAATTAAACCCCTTGGTATGTCTGGGCCCTCACGAACAGCTCAGGTTTGTTGCCTCCAGGTCTCTTGCTTTTAGTCTCTTTCCACGCACTTCTACCTGAAAACAGCTGACAGGGCTCCTGCACGATTAATGCACATGCACACACAGATGCAGCTAATCCCTGCATTCCTGGGCTAAACTGAACCTTGTTGCCAAGTAAATACCTCACAGCCTGCAGAGCCCCACAGCTAAGTGCAAGGGGCAATGCTAGTGAGCAGGCCATAGGACTCCGCTCCTAACTCAGACTGTTGATGGCTTGTATCAGGCAGGCCATTGCGTTTGGTGGCTCAGTTTCCCCCAAGGAAGGGGATGTGGCAACTGATCATCACTTACAGGAGAGTATTACCAGGAGCTCAGTAGTGCCGCCCTAGTATTCTGTATGCTACAACCCCAGCCATGAGTCCTTGCTGATCTAAGATCTGCAGACACCATCCTTGCCCTCAAAATCTTACCCTCAGTGACTCACTCAGGCCCCAGGGAATGGATGGTAGGGCTGAGACTACAGCTCAGCTCTCCCAGGTGCCTGTCCTCTACCCACTCCATTGCAAAACTTCCTCTGCTGTGCTTGGCAGGCATCCTGGCCTCCACCTCAGCAGGCTGGCTTTTACATGCCAGAGCTCTTGACAGCATATGTCCAGGCTACAGGCAAGCCAGCCCCTGGCCTGACAGTCCTGCTACTCCCTGTCCAGATTTGCCAAAGCACTGCCCTCCCTGCACTGTGCCCAGGGCCTAGGCAGCACTGTTGCCTCCCACAGTAGGCTTAGGCTGCCTACAGAACAGCCTTCAAGGCACTTCTAGCACCACCCTCACACTAACACACAGGGTGTTTCCAAAAAGAGACCTGCTTTTTCTTTTCACTATCCAGCTGGCTCTACCTACCCTCCACCCCTGTTTCACACTAAAGTTCACGCAACCTGAGTCAGGCTGTAGCCACTGGGGACCTTAGAGGGACAGATCCTCCAGTGCCTGCAAGTCTACCCTGGCTGTAGCTCAGACTGTAGCAGCAACTCTCTTAAAACCTGAAGATTTTCTCCTGCTTCTACTGACC